CTGGAGGCCTTGTGAGCCTGGTCAGCAGCAGGCGTGTCTTCTCTTCCTCTCAGTGCCAGCTCAGGCCAGACCTTCTTCTCAGATGTGGACTCCACCGATGCCGCCAGCACCTCTGGCTCTGCCTCTACCAGCCTCTCCTATGACTCCAGGTGAGCTTTGCTGGGACAGCAGTCCCCAGCCTATCCACCTCCCACTGCTGGATGAAGATTTGTTCTGCACTTTCAGGTCGAGAGAGAGGAGAGAGGGGTGAGGGAGGGGGCTGGTCTTCTGTACCGGAGTCTGCTCTGGACCCTCTATTCCAAGTTACCAGGGTGGAAGCTGAAGTTAACTTTGCCTGCAATGACTGTGTGATCCCTCTAGTCAAGCAATCTAATTCGGGGACTACTTGATTAGAGTTCTTTCATTCTGAGCCTCTTGACTTCTGTATGTCGTGACTGTGTGTCTGTGCCTCAGACCGCAGGGCTCCTGCTCTCAGGTGCTGGCTGTCTGATTGTATTTCAGGGTTTCTAAGAGGAAATTTCATTTATTTTAAGCCTATGTAGAGAGCAGATTGTAGGGGAAGGGAAAAGACCCTGGGGTTTGACTAAGGGTATAGCCCCTTTTATTGTTGGACACAGCCCCCTCTGCACTCTGGCGCCTCCGTCTTGTAGAGTGTGGAGAGACTGTGGGTGTAGACTTAAGACTGCAGTGTCTCTAAAGACGGGAACTGTTCTCTACACTCACCTGTCGCTGCCTGGGTCTCACCTGTCGCTTCCCGGCCGTGCCTCTGGAACTTTAATTTGGGTTCTAAGGCTCAAAGCCGAGCGTCATGCATCCTAGGGAAGTACTCTATCCCTGAGCTGTACACCCCTTGTCTTCCTGTTTCTTTGGTTTCTCGCTAGTGTTTCAGGTGGTGGCAGACAAGTCTCGGCATCCATTAGTGTGCAGCTTGCCTCGCTATCTGTTGTGCTAACACCCCTGCTGTGTAGTCCAAGGTCTTTCAGTTCCTGTCTCTGTGTAGCTCATCCAGCTCATACAAAGAACCAGGTGGTCTAAACAAGGCCTCTGCACTGTGGACTCCAAAAGCATATATAACAGTGGCCCACCCTCCCAGATACAGAGAGCATATGCTTCAAAGTTGAACATATCCGGGTTTGAATCCTGGCCTTTAGTCCTCCCCAGCTGATTTCTTCTCTGCAGCCTCAGTTTCCCTATGACAGAACTACTGTGAAGTTTGAGCAAGATAATCCGTGCCCAGGGTCCAGCACAGTACCTAAGAGTACCTGTCTGTCTTGGTACCTAAGAGACTCTCGGGGTGAGGAATCTAATAACTTCTCCAACTCATCCCTCTCCCCTCCTGATACAGATGGACAGTAGGCAGCCGCAAGAGGAAGCTGGCAGCCAAAGCGTACATGCCCCTGCGGGCAAAGCGTAAGGCGGCCAAGCTGGATGGACGCTGCCCCTCAGACAGTAGCGCAGAGGGAGCTCTGGGCCCTGAGCAGCCAGATGAAGGCATTGACAGCCACACGTTGGAAAGCATCAGTGAAGATGACTCCTCCTTGTCCCATCTCAAGTCATCTATCACCAACTACTTTGGGGCAGCGGGGCGGTTGGCCTGTGGGGAGAAGTATCAAGTGTTGGCTCGGAGGGTCACACCTGAGGGCAAGGTTCAGTACCTGTTAGAATGGGAAGGGACGACCCCTTACTGACAATCCCTCAGGGGCTGCCTACATCCCTGGAAACCAAAGGAGGGACAGAGAAGCCATTGGCTCCCTGCTTTCTCCAGACTGGGGTGGTGGAGGGAAGCAGGACAGAGCCCTAAGGGCTTGGCCTGCTGCCCGCCAGGCCAAAGTCTGTGTGCTGCTGTACCAATTGCCTGTGTCTCCCAAGACCCCAGTGACTCTTTCTCATTGTCTGCACACTCCACACCCCTCAAACTGTTTATTGGTTCCTCTGGTTCCAAAATACCCTGGCTGTGACCCCTCCCGATCCTGAGGCCTAAATCTGTTTTTCATTGTCCCCAGTTCTCCATGTTTTTACCTCACCCATTTTGGGTATTTGTGTGGTCACACATCTGCCATGGGCACATCTGTCCCTCACTGGATAGCCTTCACTGGGTCCTCACTGGACCCTGAGGCTCTTCCATTTTCTCACCAGTACCCCTAATGCCAGGAGGGTAGGGGTGTCAGAAAGTTCAGAGTGCCTGGGACCCAAAGCTTGGGGGTGGTGAACTGGGTCTGTGCTGAAGAGGCCAGCAGCAGGGTCCTTTATTGAGGCTCAGAGGAGAGACTACATGAGTCGGCTCTGAGGGTCCCAGAAGTTTGTCCCCAGCAATAACTCTTCACTGTCGTCATGGAGTACAGCCTAGCCTTGCTGCACAGAGGTGTTCTTAAACACTGAGACCTCAGAGGAAATGATGGGGAGCCAAGCCAGGTCAGACTGAATCTCAGACTCATCACAAGGTCCCACACCACACCACTGTGTGTACAGACACACCGTCACATTCCCACGCCCTCCTGGCACCCTGGCTCCTGTCCTTGGCCCCTTCCAGGGATACATGCTGCAATTAAATGTGAAAACCAAACACTTGACCCAACAGAGAAGCACAAAAGACTGCCCTCTTCTGCATAGCACCTGCCTCGCCCTGGAACTGACAATCCCATTGGGGACAGGCTGGAGTTTTTCAAGGGCCTGAATCGTTCCTTCCCTTCAGAAAGGGAGTCTTTGTCATTGATGGTATAAATAGAACCCTTAAAATGGACAAACAGCCCTATCTGGAGGGAAACCAAAATTAGGAGGTGGGCAAGGAGCCATTAGCTTGCCTGCAGAGATATTAGAAACTGACTCACTTGGTTGGAAAGTAGAAGTGCCTTGGGGTGGGAGGCAGGGACGGCAGATTGGGACCAGCCTCACTGCTGCTGTGGCTTCCAGCTGGGTGGGGCTTTGCATGCTGCCAGCTGGAAGGTGAAAATGAACAGCATGGAGATATTAGTCCTATATCGGGAGCTGATATCTCCATGATAGGCCTGACCCCTCCGTTCCTGCCTGTGAGCATTCAGGGGGTCTCAGAAGTTAGATAACCCTTGCCTTAAACCTCAGCAACTGTAGTGCCTTGCAAAGGGACGTCACCTCTCACTCTGGGCACAGCCACTCACTTTCCTCTGCTTCCCTGTCTTCTGAGGCAAGGATGAGCAGATGGGCGCTGATCCCAGTTCTCAGTCTCACAGCTGCTGCCATTGAAGTCCCCCAGTGCGGCCAGGTGGAAGGAGAGTCGTGAGGCTAACTCCCAGGCTAGCGGTAGTGGGGGAACTGGGGTCAGATTTGTGGCCTCCTATTAGCTTCAGTGAGCCTGCCAACCTCCAACGTCTGCTTTCCAGGCTGCAAGGTTGTTCCTTCCCTACTGGGCCTGAGGAGCAGGAGGGGGTGGGGGCGATAGCACAAGGCCTGACCAGGTCACCTGACTCCTAACACCAACGTTTTACTCCCACGAGGTAATGGCTGTGTTACTGTCAAGTGACAGTATAACCCTGTGCACCTTTGAAAAGATTTTGGTTTTTGAATTGCTGCTTTTAATAATATTTGTTATATTAAAGTTATAATCATGTCTGGTTTACAGTGTAAACGTGTCCTTGTACGGCCTGCTGCTCCTGGCTTCCTGGAGATTAGGCTACGGAGGGTGAGGCCAGCCCTCGACCACCCAGCCACCCCCGCATTCTCTCATCTGTGTTCTCTGCAGTGTTCCCACTATTACTGCTCTGTGATAACGTGGAACTTTCTTTTTCTACCTCTACTGAGTAACAGCAAACATTTACCCTTAGGATTTGGGAATAAAGCAGGCATAGTGGCACACACCTTTGATACCAACACTCAGGAGGTAGAGGCGGGCAGATCTACAGAGCGAGTTCCAGGACAGCTAGGGCTGTTACACAGAGATACCCTATCTTGGAAAAACAAAACAAGGAAGGGAGAAAAAGAATGAATGAATTTAGCAGTAAACTGGAATTGTCAGAAATTCCCAGATCAAATACTTCACCCTTCATACTCCTTTCCTCATCGTTACATTTACCTGAAAGGTGCTGAGTTAAGAGGCATATCAAGCCTTCTTATTAGTACTATTAACAGAAACTGTAGCCTGGGGTTAAATGTAAAGATCAGGGAACATCATTTGAATAGCATTAATGCCACAGCATTTGGGTATATTAGCAGCCTGAATTACCTACCACCTTAAGTGCTCCTTTTGCTCCCAAACTTTATTTCTTGGAACACTTCTCTCAGAGTCTGTACAAAATACACACTATATATAAAATTTGCAAGGAAAGTGGCCCGTCACTAAACTCTACTCTCTTCATCCATGGAGTGGGTCACACCCTCCAGATCTGTGGTAAGGAAGAAACAACGCAAAGGATGGACAAGTGTCAGACTGACAGACAGATGTCTTAAAGACTAGTAACTTCTATGCCAGTGGCTACAGTAGGTTCTCAGAAACTGGCCTCTGAATGAAAAGCAGTAGGAATATTAGATTAGAATCAGACTCCGGTCCACAGCCTCACGTTCCTGAGTGGCTTAGGCCCTCTGACCTCGGATTTTATCAGCAAAATGCTAACAAATAAGTTTAACTTACAAGGATAAGATGAGGAACAAGTGCCCCTCTCTCCCATTTCCTGTACACTGTGGCAGACAGGTCACCAAGAAAGGCTTTTGTGATGGTATACACAGCACCGGAAATGAACCAATGAAAGCCACACTCTCAGAGTTTAAGAAAATCCAAGAGGATTGGAGTCTACGCATGTTTGTTACAATAAGTCTAGTAAGAGTCAAGACGTATCCTCAGCTCACAAGGCTGCGTTGAAACCCATATATTCCCCTAGACTGCATAGGCTCAAGAAGCCCCTTCCCAGCCTTACCTCTGCAAGTTAGGAAGCAACAAAAGCTTCCCTAACAAGAAGCAATTTTGCTGACCCCTGAAATTCTATCACTATGATTCATAGTTTTGAAAAGAACACATACACGTTTTTTGGGGGTTTTTGGTTTTTTCTTTTTTTTTTTGGAAGGCATTTATCCCACACACACGCAGGTGAGAAAGGCTCTCTGTCCCCACAAGAAGCAAAGGAGTGATTACACCCCGGGCACTTATAGTAGGCCCAGTGCCTACTACCACCACCCCTCTGCCCCCGCTCCTCACCCTCACACCCTCTGACTGCCTGAAAATACACAGCACCCCAAGACAGGCTCCACTTAGCTCTTGCGGCCTGGCTGGCCTTCACTTCACATGCACAGGTCACCTCTGTGCTGTTCGTAACCCCTGGGGAGGCAGAAAGGTGGCCTTTCCCAGAGCAGTCAGGAAGGCCTCAGCCGACAGCAGCAGCCTGCACAGTTTCTCTGCTTACTTCTCCTTCATGCCCTCCTCAAGCCACTTTAAATAGCGAGCATCTCCTTGGTCCATGGCAATACTGAAGACCTCTGGGATTTCAAAAGGATGAGCCAACCTTTGGAAAGAAAGCAGAACTCTTGAGTGATGGTGACAAGATTAACCTACATGATAAAACCCAGCCCACAGGCTCTCTGGAGGCCCCTGCGAGCGGCTGCAGCTCACTGTTTAACGCCCTGCGTGGTCCAGCCTGCCAGAGCCTGTTTCCCATCCAGCAGGTACTGGGTTGGATCGGTGGTTCTCAGCCTTCCTAAGGTTGCGGCCCTCTAACACAGTTCTGCTGTAGATATTAGTTTAAGATGTGTTACATTTGTTTATGCTGTGGAACCTTTAATGATGTAAACACGTGTTGCATTCTTTTATGCTGCATTTGTTTAGCTCTGTGAAGCTGTGTTACTGTGCCTGTCTAAAACACCTCATGGTCTAATAAAGAGCTGAATGGCCAACGGTGAGGCAGGAAAGGGATAGGTGAGGCTGGCGGACGGCAGAGAGAATAGAGGAAGGAGCTAGACCAAAGAGAGGAGAACACAAAGGGGCCAGCCACTCAGCTACACAGCCAGCAATGGAATAAGAAAGAAAAGTTACACAGAAATAGAGAAAGGTAAAACCACGGAGACAAAGGTAGACAGGATAATGTAAGAAAAGCTGGCTAGAGCTGGGTAGTGATGGCGCACACCATTAATGTCAGCACTCAGGAGACAGAGGCAGTCAGATCTCTGTGAGTTTGAGGCCAGCCTGGTCTACAAAGTGAGCTCCAAGGCAGGCTCCAAAGCTACACAGAGAAATCTTTTTTTGAAAAACAAAAAAGAAAAAAGAAAGAAAGAAAAGAAAAGACAAGCTGGCTAGAAATAAGCCAAGCTAAGGAAGGCTGGGCATTTATAAGAAAGAATAAGACTCCATGGTGATTTATTTGAGAACTGGGTGGCAGGCCCCCAACAAAAGCCAAAGAGTAAAGAGGAACAAAAAACTACTCAGTTCCTCATGCTGTGGTGACCCTCAACCATATAATTATTTCATTGCTACTTCATGACTGTAATTTTGCTACTGTTATGAATCTCAACCCACAGGTTGAAGACGGCTGCCTTAGAATCTTAGAGATATGGGTCCAAAGTCTATATCTGTCCTTACTAGTTCTGTGTGTTGTAGGAACTCATTTCACCAATATCTTTAGGGTACCAGCCTTACGGCATGGCTTCTTCTCTGTGGACATGACCACTTATTAGGAGAGAGAGAAGGGTCCTGCTCTCTATTTTGGTGGTGAAGACCGGGTCAGGTGGCATGAAGTGGCCGCATGTGATCGATCCCCAGCTTCCCTGGGCTAAACGGAAGGACTCTGCAACTCATTATACCTTGTCCTGTATCTGTGAGTCTGTTCCCCCAGTGCATCCCTTAAAAAAATGTTTATATATATATATATATATATATATATATATTCGTGTGGCTCACATTACAGGTGGCGCCCAAATGTGAACTGAACCAAGGGGCTGGAGCTAGTCTATGCGGCTCCCATCCCAGCCTCCCCAGCTGCTGTTGCACTTCCTGCTGTGCCCCAAGCGTTCCCAGCTGGGATTCCTGTCTGCCCTGTGTCTGTGACTGTGGACAAGTCATTTAATTTCTCTGAATGTCTCCACAGAAAGAGATAAAAACACCTTTTTGGCTGGATTGCTGAGAAGCAGCTGGGACAGGGTGTGCCGAGCCCTTAGCTAGTGCCAGCATTGCACACACTCCTGTTCACTACTCTTCGCCTCCCTGCGCACACAGCGCTGCGTCTTCCTGCCCCTCCCCAAAGCCTGTGTATTCCGTCCTACCTAGAAAATCTTCACTGTTCCTGCTGATCAACCAAAATCCCCTCTCTTGAGCCTCAAGGTCAAATAATCCCTGACCTTTCCCCAGGGGGCCCTTGCTGAAAGCCTGGCTCAGTCACCTGCCTCTTTGCTTAATTCACCTGGCCCAGTGTCAGGTATCTTCCCGTCAGTCTCTCATGTGTCAGATGAATGAAATAATTCTTCACTTACTTTCTGATCAAAGTAGAGTCATTGGGAAGTTCTCATGAACTAACATGGTTAACTAATCACAGTGTTTTATAAGTAGGATTGATTGTCAGTTTGATAAGCTTCTTTCATGGTCACCAAGGCCAGAATCTTCTTTTATAAAGAGACATACAGAATTCAAAGACTCAGACACCTTAGCAGTAAGATGAACTGTTGAAACACTTCATAAGTATACTGCATATAGTCTAATATGTATAGCAGCCTGGTAGTTTGATACCCATTTTATAGATAGACAGATGAGGCAAAAAATATACATCTACTAAAACAAGCATTATGGGGGACTGGAGGGATGGCTCAGAGGGTAAGGGCACTAGCTGCTCTTCCAGAGGTCCCGAGTTCAATTCCCAGCAACCACATGGTGGCTCACAGCCATCTGTAATGTAATGAGACCTGGTGCTTTCCTTGCCAGCAGTACATTGTATGCTTAATAAATAAATCTTTAAAAAAAAAACAAGCATTATGGTGCAACTATCAAGTAGGAAGCCAGACTTCAACATAAGAAATAGAATCTGGAGTTCTCCTGACCCAGAAGCTGTCCCCTCACAGCTTATGGTTCGGCTCAGCCAAACTGCCTTATTCCCTCGCCTCTGCTGATGTGGTAACAAAAAGGTCTTCTCTGAAGTTAGAATTGAGACTCGGCTTACAGCTCTATAGCCACAAAATCCTAGTTTCCCTAAGATGTGAGGAGAGGATTTTTACCATGCAGAGCAAGGGCACACATCAGTCCACCTGGGATGCTCCTTAAGAACCCCACACTTGGGGGTTGGAGAGATGGCTCAGAGGTTAAGAGCACTGAGTGCTTTTCCAGAGGTCCTGAGTTCAATTCCCAGCAACCACATGGTGGCTCACAACCATCTGTAATGAGATCTGGTGTCCTCTTCTGGCCTGCAGGCATACATGGAAGTTGAACACTGTGTACATAATAAATAAACCTTTAAAAAAAAAAAAAAAAGAACCCCACACTTGACCTACAATCCACACTGCCTGCAAGATGTGTTGGAGTAAAGGTTGGTCCAACTTGAGGACCATGCCACAAGAGGGAGCCCGCACCAGACACTGCCTGGATGGCCAGGAACCGGAGGCAGGACATCCTAGACATAGGATAGAACCTATCTAGATCCAGGATAGAACCAAGCATGACTGCTCCCCCAACCCTGCATGCCACAAAAAAAGTCGAACAAGGTCAATGAAATGACTCGTAATGATATTCTCCTATACTCAAAGGCGGGTCCCTAGCCCAGTCATCAGGGTCTTCATTCAGCATGCATGAATGGGAGCAGATGCACACCCACAGCCAAACACGAGGCAGAGCTCAGGGAACTCCGCAGAGGAGGGGGAGGGAGGATTGCAGGCGCCAAAGGGATTGAGGACACCACAGAATCAACTAACCAGGGTTCATAGGGGCTCACAGAGACTGAAGCAACAAACATGAACTCTGTATGGGTCTGTGCTAGGTCCTCTGCATATACTTTGTGTTTGTATAGCTTGGTGTTCTTGTAGGACTCCTAACAGCAGGAAAGTGGGTGTCTGTGACGTTTTTTTTTTTTTAGGTGTTAATGTCAAATACCACGTGTCTCTGACTCTTTTGCCTACACTTGGGACCCTTCTTCCTCCTCCTGGGTTGCCTTGTCCAACCTTGATATGAGGGTTTGTGCCTAGTCTTCTTGTAACTTGTTATATCATGTTTGGTTGATATCTCTGAGAGGCCTGCTCTTTTCTTTTCTTTTCTTTTCTTTCTTTTTTTTTTGAAGGGAAACAGAGGAGGAAGAGAAGATCTGGAGGAAAGGAAGGGTAGGAAGAGGGACTGGAAGGAGGGGAAATAAGGTTGGGATGTAATGTATGAGAAAATAAAATAATAACAATAATAATAATGAATCATTTGGTCCTCTCGCAGACAAACCAAGTTGAGATCCATGAGGTAGTGCTTATGTTGGACATTTGGAAAATATCTCCAAGTGGTCTAACACATGGCCAGCACTGAGGCAACAGGTTAGACCAATGCTTCAGTGGTAACGTGGACAAGAATCACTAGATATGATTCTTGGGATGCAGTTCCATTCAGTAGGTCTGAAGTGACACAGGATCCCGTATCCAATGCTAGAGGTAGAAGGGGACAATGTCCTTGCTGCCAATGAGAGAATTGTTTGCAAGGAAAAAAAATCTAAATTTTGAAACCTTGAATTTGTCATGGTAAACTTAAAACTGTCCCTAACAGCTATCTTATTAAGTCACAATTTGCAAAATGAGAAATGACGCCATTTTCTCACTAACTTCTTGGTTTTGAAAAAGGATGAGTACTCTTCATAGGAACATGATATTTGTGCACCAGGTAGTGGTGGCACATGCCTTTAATTCCAGCACTCAAGAAGCAGAGGCAGGTGAAGCTCTGAGAGTTTGAGACCAGCCTGGTCTACAAGAGCAAGTTCCAGGACATGCTCCAAAGCTACAGAGAAACCCAGTTTTTTTTTTTAAAAAAAAAAAAAAGATATTTGTGTTACTACTACTATATAATGGTTGTATTTTAAAGTAAGCTAAAAACAGTTTTCAAAATCCTTGGCACTTATGACTGAAAACGTTCATTTCATGGACTTCATCAAAGTTTTGGAGACCTCAGAGGTAACGAGACCTCACTTTGTGAGTCACTGCTGTCAACCGCTGAGACTCAAAGTGGGCTTTGCGACTGCGTTACTGGGAACAAGCTAGAAATTGACCCATGGAGCTTTCGTGAATAATCTTTCTAACGCATGAAAAGGCCCTGAGAGCAATATTTTGAAGCCACCAGTGTAAACTGTCTCGTTCTGCTCTCCATCGTCCAGGTGGAGAACCTGAGACAAAGAGGACACGGAGTCTCAAGGAGACGGTTGCTAAACCCAGCTCTCCCTTTTCCCACATTCATTCACACAGTGTCCAGAATATCCAGACCTAGTCCTGTGGTTCGTGAGTAAGAAACCTTACCTCACGTAGGTGGACAGCCTGGAGACCTTGGAAGTCTTTGTCTTTATTAGCTGTGACAGGAAGAAAATTAATCAGCAACTTAGGACCTGGAGGCCAGCTCAACCCTCCATCCCTCCCAGGTCACCAGCCCCAGGTGGGGCAATCATCACGACTGATTGATTGATGTGCATTTAAGATGTCGTCACGGAGCTACACCCCAGCCTCATCACTAATTCAAATTTGGAAATGGTCCTGATGTCACTCATTGTCCTATTAAGACCTCCTCTGCCCCATCCTCACTTACCAACAAGATCTCAGTGGATTCTTCTATTTCTCCCTTCCAAAAGTACCTAGAGAAGAGAACAAAATCAAATTGTAACAGTCCCAAGAGGAGCCTGGCAAATTGTCAAACCTGCCCAAGTAGGTAATTCTGACTACTGAAGAGAAGTCGCTACAATCTTCCTCAAACCCATTGTGCTGGCACAAGCTAGAGTCATGAGAGAGGAGGGAGCCTCAGCTGAGAAAATGCCTCCACGAGACTGGGCTGCAGGCAGCCTGTAGAGAATTTTCTTAATTAGGGACTGATACGAGAGGGCCCAGCCCATTGCGGGTAGTGCTATCCCTGGGCTGGAGGTCCTGGTTCTATAAGAAAGCAGGCTGAGCAACCAAGCCATGGGGAGCAAGTCAGTAAGCAGCACCCTCCATGGCCTACATGAGCTCCTGCCTCCAGGTGCCTGCCCTGCTTGAGTTCCTGTCCTGACTTCGTTGACAGTGACGTGGAAGTGTAAACCAAATAAACCCTTTCTTCTTCAACTTGCTTCTTGGTCCTAGTGTTTCTTCGCAGCAATAGGAACCCTAACTACAAACCCATAAAAGAAGTCTAGAGTTGGCCAAGACCCCACAGGTCAGTCTGTCCAATCATTCTAACAAATACATTCAGCACCTACCAGTGCATTCCTGAAGGTTATCTATTGAAGATAGTTTCCTAACTCAGATTTCATGAGGTCTCCTTCCTTCCTTCCTTCCTTTCTTCCTTCCTTCCTTTCTTCCTTCTTTCCTTCCTTCCTTCCTGCCTGTCTTCCTGCCTTCCTGCCTGCCTTCCTGCCTTCTTTCCTTCCTTCCTTCTTTACTTCCTTCCTTCCTTACGTCCTTCCTTACTCCCTTCCTTTTTCCTTTCCTTTATTCTTCCCTCCATCAACCCTCCCCTCCATCTTTTCTTGCCGCTTCCTTTTTTGTTATGTTGGAGAGCAAACCGCAGGCCGTGTGCATGTTAGGCAAGCAGGTACTCTGCCCTGAGCTACATGCATAAGCCTCTAGAGAACATTTTAAAGATTCAGAAACTTAGGCCTCAGCCTCAGAGAGGCTAATTCAACAGGCCTAGGCTGAGGCTCAGAGATCAAAAATTAAGCCAAGTTAAGTAGCCATGCTCAGACGATGTGAGCAGTTGAGCAAACAGCGTGCCTTTTCTCTCCTTTCTCTATACACAACATATTTTTGCCTTCCTTGGGAGATATAAACTGATAACAAACAAAATCTCTGGATGTAAGTCAACTGTGTAGTGTTGATTAAACGCCTTTGAAACATTCTCTGACGGCTCACATTTGCCCCCTGCTATCTCTGTCGTCTAGGAACCAATCTTAGCATTTCCAGTCCCCTCCCCGGCCTTGGCAAAACTCACAGTGACGACGTCTTAGGCAAGATGTTCACAGAAGTGGCCAACTTCTTATCCAATATGGCCCTAGAGCAAGGAGAGGGGGTGATCACTGGAGCAAGTCCGAGGTTTTAAGAGAAGGGATGGGAATCACTGTGACTATCTGAGTCTAAGTAAAGAATCATTTAGGGTGTCCCTCCCCTGCTATGCTCTACATATGCCCTGAGAATTCTTATGTTGGAAACTTAATTCTTAATGAAACTGTAGGTGAAGACCTTGGCAAGTAATTAATGAAGTAAAAATGTGGAAACTGCAGCTGCCAGTCTTCACTTAGGCAATGCTAGGGGAGCTGCCGGGGCTAAGTTAGTACCGAGACCCAAAGCTGCAGCGCTACCAGCACAGTGTGGTTAAGTTGAGCCCAGCAAAGCTGTGGAGGCTGGACTGCCTAGACCTAGTCCTTCCCCACCACACTGTATCCAGGAATTTATCCTGAGCCTTCAGAGTTAAGGTGCTATAGAATTTTACACTTGCATGGTGTCCTGGCTACTTTGACACAAGCTATAGTCACCTGGGAACACTCAGTTGAGAAAATGCATCCATAAGATGGGCTGTAGGCAAACTGTGGTGCACTTTCTGAATTAACGATTGATAGGGGCAGGCCCAGCCCATTATGGGTGGTACCACCCCTGGACTAGTGGTCCTGGGTTCTATGAGAAAGCAAGTTGAGCAAGCCACAATGAGCAAGTCAGTAAGAGGACCCCTCCATGGCCTCTGCATCAGCTCCTGCCTCCAGGTTCCTGCCCTGCTTGAGTTCCTGTCCTCCTTCCTCCAATGATGAACAGGGATGTGCAAGCATAAGCCAACTAAACCCTTTGCTCCCAACTTGCTTTTTGGCCATGATGTTTTCTCACAGCAGTGATGACCCCAAGCCACTGGGGACCAGCTATTCCTTACTACTTGCTTATTTATCCACTTGGAAATGCCTGCTTCACCATTGTCCTCTAGAAACAGGCAGCTTGTTTGACTTCACAAGCTGGTGAAGTCAGTTTGCTCCTGGTGTGCTGAATCTCACTGGATTCAGATTCAGATGAGACGCTGGATTCTGGATGCTGGAAATGGTGCTATAGCTAGTTCAGCTTTAGGGCTATGGGGATGGAATGGCAGTGTTTTACACGTAATGTCAGGAATGCTGGGGCACAGAAGCAGAATGCTAGGGTTTGAGTGCGTCCTCGGAATTCCTGTGCTGAGAACTAACCCCACGAATCATGTTAATGAGTTTGGAGAGGGTGATTAGTGAGGTTAGGAGGGTGGGACCCCAGGGTGGCATTAGTGACTTCAAAAGGAAAGGACCGGAGAGGGGGTCAGCATGCTTGCCCTCCACTGCCACGTGATAGATACCCTTGTTTGGTTGGTGCTTGTTTGCTTGTTTTTGTTTTAAAGGTTTCTGACAAACGCCTTATCGGAACCCTACTCCTGGGTCGGGTCATAGATTTCCTCCCCTGTTCCAAGGAGGGGCTGCTCTCCCTGCTCGTCCCTTGAGCCCTCTTCTTTCTTACTTATCATGAGACCTCGGGAATTGAGATAAGGGGGTGAGAAAAGGAGTTGGACTAGCAATTGGGGAGTGGTTAAATTGTCCCCCATGGAGGCCTTCACAGTTCCTTTAAGACCTCCAATAAGCCACCCATCTCTAGGGTGTCACACCTCTTCTGCCCCATCAATGAGTTAACATTCCCTAGCAGGAATCATCAGCAGGAGGATCAGCCCTGGGTCATCCAATGGGTTCCTCATCCCACCCCAAGCAGAAACCATGGAGTTCATCTTTGGACAGAAAGAGTTGCCAAAAGCAAGAGAAGGGCACAACGTGGCCCCTAGGAGCACCCTGGTAGCTTCTCGCTCACGTAGGGGCATCACCTAGCCCTGCACTATACCTGGCAACATCTTTGGCAATTTGCTCATTGGGACAGTTGACAAAAACAACGGAGTAAGTGCCAGAGATGTGGTTCCTGGTGAGGGAGGAGTGGAGCCAGAGGGTAAAGGTCCTGAGCAGAGGATACGTCAGGATGACCGCCAGGATCTGTATGGTACAAAAGAAAAGCACAGGTCGGTGACTCCTGGCTCCACCAGACTGGAATCATCTCGTCATCCCCATTCACAAAATAATTCCTGAGGTCTGTATTTTGTTTTACCACTTAGAGTGTTCATGCCCAGGTCCGGGGAAACCAGCTCAGTTAAATGAGGTTGCCACATGCCACCCTGAATTTGGTGGCCCATGCTTGTAATCTGAGCACTGAAGATGCAGAGACTGGCAGATCCCTGGGGCTAACGAGATGACCAGCATAATTCCTGGCACCTATTCAGCAAGTTTTAGAGCAATGGTAGACCCTACCCAGCCACCCCCAACAAAAAAATAAATAAATAAGCCAAGGTTAAGAGCACTGAATGCTGTTTCAGAGGAAAAATTGGAAATATGGAAAATTATGCCCTGGCAATGCTGAAAGCATGCTTGGGCAGCCCGTATATGGTGGTTCTGTTGGACTTGTCCATATTGAGTTCCATGGTCTAAGTTGATGAGGACAACTGACCAGATCGTTTCCTCAAGAGGGCACAAGATCTCGTTACAGATGGTTGTGAGCCACCATGTGATTGCTGGGAATTGAACTCAGGACCTTTGGAAGAGCAGGCAGCTGCTCTTAACTGCTGAGTCATCTCTCCAGAGGACTTGAATTCAATTCCCAACACCCACATGGTGGCTCACAACCCAAGTTCCAGGGCATCTGATATCCTCTTCTGGCTCCCAGGGAACAGGCACACACATGGTGCAAGCAAAATACCCGTACACACTGAATAAATAAATAACAAGATGAATGGCTCCTGAAAAATGATACCCCAAGGTTGGCCTCTGGCACCCATACACACAAGTTTACCAGCACATACACAAAGTACACATGCCTAGATGTTTTCCTCTGCGTTTTGTAGCTAAGGGGAAAAAAAATGGAGGACCACAAATCAATAAGGCAAAAAAAAACTTTCTTAAACCATAGCTTTAAATGTTGAAGCCGGAATTTGTACTCAAGTCTGGATGATTTCAAATCCGTTTCTATTGCACGAAACTGTCACTGCAGGTACTTGCGGCTGCCACTCACTGAAGTGTTAGCATCTGTGAAGATTATTTTTAATGGTAAGCACTCATCTATCTCTTCTAATGCTTTAGTGAATAATTTCACTTGCATTCATCTAACCGTTCCAGGTGTGGCGCATGCTTGGAGTGCGAACATACCAGTTTTAAAATCATGCAACACACGCTACTGGGGCTAAGCCTTAGAATGACCAAGAAGTAGATTCTCCTTGGGGGCGGAGCACAAGCAGGCTTTGCTGAGAGGGTGCTCTCTCTCTCTATTGGTTACTTTTCTCGTTGTCATGACGAGAAGCAACTTGGCTTACACTGTGGTGTCTGTGGCTGGGGAAGCAGGGCAAGAGGCAGAGTTGTGGCCTGAGGTCTCTATTTCTTGTCAAGAAGACAGAGGCTGACTGGGCGCTAAATCCCAAGGCCCATTCCTAGCAGCCAATTTCCTCCAGTAAACAGCCTCTACCTGAAAGTTTCACCGTGTCCGAAGTCACACAATCAACTAGGAAACATGTTCAAACGCATGAGCCCACCAGAGGCATTTCATAATCATCATCCCAGTATATTCTATACCTGCCCCCGTCAGTTCATAGTGACCTCACAACGCAAACATTCATTATATTCAGTTTATCTTAAAAAGTCCTCAGAGCCTTACAGTTTTATAGAAGTTCAAAGTCAAGAGACTCAAGACTGTCTCCTGTCTGGGTGCCCCTATAATTCAAAATGCATGCAATACACTAATGCGAGCATTCTTGTTCCCAAAGGGAAGAATAGGGGCTCAGTGTGGAAAACTGAGCCAAACGCATGAGCAACAAGGCAGACACAGACCCAGCAGGGCAGACACAGACCCAGTGGGGCAGGCACAGATCCAGTGGGGCAGACACAGAAGCAGCAGGGCAGACACAGACCCTGCTGGGACAGACACAGACCCTGCTGGGGCAGACACAGACCCTGCAGGGAACAGTTCTGTACTGCAGTGGGCGTGGTTAGTCCCGCCCCTCCAGCTCTGTCACAGGTGCTGTGTGCTATGTCTTGGGTCAGCTCCACCAGTGCCTACAGCTTTCCTCAGTAAATGTGCCGTATTTCTGGCATGCCCAATGTCCTTGTGGTCGCCACTGAGACCAAGGCACCACCTTCCCAGCCACATAGCCAGCCTACTTAGGAGCCCTACCCGTGGAAGCTGACCCTGATAATGTGTTTCCTGGCCTCGCAGCTTTGTGGAAGCCTCATGACCCTGTAACTCTTGCCCTTTACATGTCAATAATGCCAGTATCTAAGTTCCATTGCCAGCTCAGATGTAGCCTGTCCCACTGAGACCACAGATGCAGTGTGCTCTGTGTGCCTTTAAGGTTAAACCTGGAAAACCACTACCCTGGGCAGCCTGTTCCAGCCGGGCACTCTCTTTTCAAATGAATTTGCAATGAAGTTTTCCACGGGCAGGATTTTGCCCTTAAGGCCCCTTTCCTAATGACCAGCAGCTTCATTTCTCCTAAGGGTCAATAGCTTAACAAGTTCAGCTGCTTTCCCCTTGCTGGCTCCACACTGAACTTCAGGTCAAAGAGCTTCTCTGCTTATCCCAGTAGAATCCTTGTTCCACTCTGAAACCACAGAAGCACAGTCCTTGCCACCCACATTTACAGTCATTCTGGTCCTCTCAACGGCCACCACAGTGATCCACAGGCTCTGTTTACAGCAGTCCAGGGGTTCTCTAGCCCACAACTCCAAACCATTTCAGACTCCTCCCACAAATCACTCCCAGAGGCGTAGCAAACAATGGAGCTCAGAACACCAACAGGCTGCTTCTCACCCCAATTTCCCATGCTAGTCTGTCTTGACGTTGTTCCCACCGGATACCTGACAAGAAGCAAATTAACAGAGGCAAAATTGATTTGGACTTGGTTTAAGGGAATCCAGTCAGGCTAGGGAGATGCTCACTGGCTAATGTGCTGGCTGGGCAAGCATGAAGACTTGAGCTTGGATGCCCAGCACCCAGGCAAAACTCTGGGCAGGACAGCACACGCTTGTAGTCTCAGTGCTAGGAGGCAGATGAGAGACTCACAGGGGCCCACTGGACAGGGTCTAGCCAGGCAATCAGCTCCAGGTGCAGTGAGAGACCCTACCTCAAATAAGTAGAGAGCAACAGTGGAAGGCACTCAACACTGACTTTCACAGCTGTGTGTGCAGTCGCACAAACACATGCAGGGACATACACACACACACAAATGGTAGCCCATCATGGTGAAGCAATGTGTGGAAGCTGGTTGTTCACATTTTGCCATACCAGGAAGCAGAGACTGGAGAAACCAAATCCTAAGCATCAAGGCCCACCTCCAATGACCTACTTTCTCCAGAGAGTCTATGTCCCTTCAAACCATACCACAAGCTGGGGACCAAGTATTCAGCTTTTACATGAGCCTGTGGGCAAACATTTAAACCAAAACTCCATTTGAATCATATCTGAAATAGTAAGTCAGATTATTGATGGGGGCACTAAGGCACTAAACCACCTCAAGGGGTATGAAGTGCCCTGTTACTATGGGTAAGGAGGAAATCAGGAGGTAATGAACTATGAAGGGAAGGAATGACGAAGAAAGGGGTCAAACTGGGACATGTGCATCTGGAGTCAGGTGCAGGTGCAGTGGGGGTTTGAAGTAGGGGGTGACAGTGTGGCCATCAGAGCAGAAGAATGGGCAGATGAGGAGTGGAGACTGGCCAGAAAACAATCTGTTTAGAAAGTCACTGGCTCAGATCCTGAGCAACGCGTCAGCAACTGTGGGAGAAAACGGCTGAGTTGTCATTTTCTTATTATCTTCATGGCAAGACGTTTGAGAGGAAAAAAACTGAAGTACCTTCCATTCCAGCATCATTATAGAGTCATTCAAAGGACACAGGCTGCCTAGGAGTCAGGCTGTGACCCACCCAGACTGAGCAAGGCTGCCCCTCCTGTCTCCCAGCCCAGACTCATGGCTTTCTTCTAGAGCACCTCTGTCCTCCCTCCATGTTCTATTATCACATGGCTTCTGACGCTAGCTCTTGACAGCCCCTGAATCGTGTTTTGCTGTTATTTTACTTTCTTAAAAACATTTTCCATATGTGTGAGCTGTGATGGAATATTAGTTTAAGATGTGTTGAATTTGTTTGTGCTGTGGAACATCTGTTTAACGATGCAAAAATATGTTGCATTCTTTTGTGTTGCATTTGTTTAACTCTGTGAAGCTGTGATTCTTTACCTGTCTAAAACACCTGATTGGTCTAATAAAAAGCTGAACAGCCAATAGCGAGTCAGGAGAAGGATAGGCAGGGCTGGTGGGCAGAGAGAATAAAGAGGAGGAAAAATCTAGGCTGGGGGTGGGGAGAAAGCAAGGAACAAGAAGAGAGAAAAAGCGAAGGAGAGGAGGGCACCAGGGACCAGACACCCAGTCACACAGCCAGCCCTGGAGTAAGAAGGAAAGAAAGAGATAAGAATAAAGATAAAAGGCCCAGAGGTAAAACATAGTTAACGAGAAATGGGATAATTTAAACTAGAGAAGCTGGCTAGAAACAAGACAAACTAAAGCCAGTCATTCATAAGTAAGAATAAATTTCTGTTTATTTGGGAGCAGGATGGTGGACTCCAAAGAGTAAAAAAAAGCCAGCAACAATGGGTGTTTTGCCTGCATGTATGTCCGGGTACCGTGTGCATGTCTGATGCCTGCAAAGGCCAGAAGATCCCCCTGGAACTGGAGTTACAGATGGTTGTGAATTATCACGTGGGCACTGGTAACCAAACCCAGGTCCTCTGCAAGAACAACCAGTGCTCTTAACCACTGAACTGTCCCTCCAGCCCCCAGGCAATGTTTTTAATGCCCTGAGTTGGATGTTAATGTTTTGGTTGAATTCTTCTTGCCTCCTACGGCTTCCACTAGTACCTCCATTTCAACTGAGCATCCTACCCTCGGACCTGACCCCATAGCCAGGAAGCAAAAATGAACCAGCCTTTTCAAGGTGCTATCGCCGTGCTTCTTTAATGAAAACTCGTTTAGTTTACAGGGCAAAAATAAAAGCACTAGAGGGAGGGATTTGGATCTTGTCAATACTGCTAATAGCTTATGGCTTCTGACGAAGTACAAGGTACTTCCTCCCCTTCAGTCAGCCTCACTAAGGAGCTGGAGATGGGACCCTCCCGCCCCGTGCTGCCTGACTCTGAGATGCCAGAGGTGGAGATGGGGACTCCCCTACTCCGTGCTGCCTAACTCAGAGGTGCCAGAAGTGTAGATGGGAACCCCCCCACCCCGTGCTGCCTGACTCGGAAGTGCCAGAGGTGGAGATGGGGAATTCCTTACCCCGTGCTGCCTAACTCGGAAGTGCCAGAGGGGAACCCACCCCACCCCCGCTACTCCGTGCTGCCTAACTCGGAAGTGCCAGAGGGAAACCCACCCCACCCCGTGCTGCCTAACCCGGAAGTGCCAGAGGTGGAGATGGGGAATTCCTCCACACCACTGCCTGACTGGGAGGTGCCCGGGTTCTCATAAGAAGAGACGCACAGCCTGGGATCCCTAACACAAGGAAAAGGCTGTGCTTTATGGCCATAGCCCCAGTTCACCTCTTGGCACATGGCCCTGAATAAATACTTGCAGGCTAGTAAAATGAACTATCAGTATGCAAGTCAGATGGCGGTGTCAAGATTAGCTAACTTGGTGAAGGAAGCAAGGCTTGGGAACCACACACTCTAAGTATTACTGGCCTTGCTACAGTACATAGATTCCTCAATCGAACCATACAATTGTTGAAACAGTGGACCCAAGGCTCGAGAATTAGCCTTCTGCCCAGGATGCTCATGCTAGGAGAAGAAAAAGACTGTACTTGACGCCTCCCAGAAACAGATTTCATGTACTGCTGACAGTTTGTTGAATCACCTTGTTGGAGACCAGACCCTAGATGATGACGGGTCAGTAGTGAGTGAGTCACCCTGACCTGGACAGTCTTGGTGTGCAGATCCGATCGCAGTGAGAAGGGACTTAGGGGATCCTGGGTCTTCATTCTCTTCCCAGTGCAGCTCAATCTTTTCACTATTTGGCTGTTTTGATTGACACCTCAGTGGCAGCTAGGGCAGAGACTGTGACCCTCGAGGTCCCTAACATGAGGCCTGAGTACAACTGTAAGCAAAAGGAGCACTTATCAGGGGAGATTGACCCACAAAAAAAAGGAATCAAGATGCTAATGTTACTGGAAAGGAAGGAGGCAGACTGCCTGTCCCTCTGCTGAAACAGCTAAGATCTGGGGCATTTCAGCCAGCAGGCGTGGTGGGGATACAAACTCACACTAACTGCCCTGGGAGCTGGAGGTGAGCTCACAGCCAAAATACTAAGAGGCAAGAGACCATCCCGTGTTACCTAAGGCAGCCCTCAGCTCAAAGTAACTAGAGGCAGGGGCCCAAACTCAAGTCAGGGTGATTTCTGTCCTCCAGGGGACTTAGCAATGTCTGAAGACAATTCTGACTCACGACTGGGAGGGAACACTATTCTCATCTAGCAGGTAGGGATCAGAACTGCCATCACACTGCAGTTGCTATGGCCTACCCCATTGGACAAGAACCTTAGCACTCCAGATAGTGAAAATTTTCATGGACACTAACAGAGTGTCGTAAGCACAAAAGGTCAGGGTGGACCCAATAGTGGATGGCAGTTTAGAAAGTGAATGAACGCAAAATTGATGGGTGGCAAGGATCACATTCCCTGACAGAAACACTTACTGTAGTCGAAGGCAGCTATACTCGCCACTGTCAAAGTCACCATTCAATTCAATGGGAAAAGCCCTGGCTATAATTTGTGTGTTGTGTGGGCACACAAGCATATATGTGCAGATGCACTGCGCTTGTGAAGGCCAGAGGTCAGAGTAGGGCATCTTCTACCTTTTAAAAAAATTATTCTTGTCGGGCGGTGGTGGCGCACACCTTTAATCTCAGCACTCAGGAGGCAGAGGCAGGCGGATCTCTGTGAGTTCAAGACCAGGCTGGTCTACAAGAGCTAGTTCTAGGACAGGCTCCAAAGCTACAGAGAAACCCTGTCTCAAAAAAAAAAAAATTATTCTTTGAAAACTAAAATATAATTATGTCATTCCCCTTCCCTTTCCTCCCTCCAACCCCTCCCATTTCCCCTCCTTTTCTTTGTTATTATTACACACATATATATAAACACATAAATATATAAATACAACCTGTTCAATCTATCTAGTGTTATGGATGGATGGATGAACGGACGGACAGACAGGCGGGCGGGTGGGCAGACAGATAGACAGATAGATAGACAGACTGATCAATAGATAATTTCAGGACTGACCACTTGGTAATGGATAGCCAGTTAGGGAAGACTAGTTTTCCTGCTCTCAGAATTCCTCAGTTGCCGGTAGTTCTTTGTCCAGGGTCCAGTTTGGTTTTGAGAGAGGGTCTCTCACTGAACCTAGAGCTCAATGATTCAGCTAGGTTTGCTGGTCAAACTGCTCCAGGGGTCTACCTGTCTCCAGCATTCCTAGTGCTGAGGTCCCAGATGTGTGCTGCTGTGCCTGGCTCTTCTTTACATAGGTGCAGGGCATCCCAACAAGGTTCATGGCCAGCGTCCTACTAAGGCACCTTCCCAAACTTGTTTTAAAGAGATGTCTCTACACAATAAAGTTTGGATACTTTATATCTTTTGTGTCTTTACTATGCACCATTGCTAATTTTATACTTATAGGAAATATGTTATGCATCTGTTCAGTTATTTCCTATTCGATCCAGCCATTCTCTTTTTGTTGAGACAGGGTCCTGCTCTGTAGCCGTGGATGGACTGAACTCATTATGTAGACCAGGTAAACCTCAAACTTGCAGGGACCCCTGCACCTCAGCCTCCTGGGTGGTGGGATAACAGGAGCGCGCCGCCACACTGGGCTTCTTCCTCAGTGTCCTGGAGTTTCTGCCTGACCTTTAAGAGGCTTCGCAAGCTTGTGGTGAGGCAGAGGAAGCCTCATCGAAATCAGTGATTTAACCTTTTAACCAACCTACTTTAAAGGAATCTGTAAATACCTTGACATCAACACAACATTCAGTTTCTGTGTTTTCCTAGCTACAAACTCAGAACTTAAACAAAACAAACAAGAATCCTCCAAGAGATTTACAGCAGTTTTTGCAAATGAGGAAATAATGTCTAGAGAAGGGGAGCAATCCCTCCAAATGCGCACACCGGGATGGTGCGAACCTTGGGCTTGAGCCTCTCCTCCAGTCCTGTCCTGTCCTCCCCACCATTTGCTGTACGTCTGACATTAACTTTCTAGGGCATTTCGGAGATGAGAAAGCAGCCCGAGAAAAGGCAGTAGAGCACGATGGTCAGCGCGGCAGCCAAAGATCCTAGCAAAGGGCTTAGGAGAGGATGTCCCAGACATTCTCATGTGTCCTTCCCTCACAGAAGACAGCCCCACTTACCCCACAGGGCAGACATGAAAGGGGGCTGGTAACCATGAGGCACCAGACAGCTTCCAGGACATTGAGGACTTCCAAGGATCTCAATTCTCCTCCCACAAGCTGCTCACAGCTCAAATCTATAAGAGCAGTGGAGAGAGAAATACCTTTCCTGCATTTCTTCCCCCTCAGCCGCAGGCAGAGGCTTCAGGACTGTTTTGGTGGCACTCACCAGGAGGCATGTAAGGACAAATAGCCTGAGGGGGCCCGGCGGAGGGCACCGTGACTCCTGCTTGTCCATGGTGCCCTTGCTGGGGATATAGCAGTAGGCAGTAACTGTGGTCTGCAGCCTAGGTAGGGTGTCAGCTGTAGGCGGAACCCAGGGCCCTAACTGTAGCCTCCTCCACCCCCACATACCTTTTTCCAGGACAACGTCCACTCTGCCCCTCCCAGCCAGGCTGGCCAGAAGACTGGCCTGGAGGGAACGCGGGCTTTCTCCCCCACTGGTCTCACTTCTTTGAGCTTATTTTCCAGAGCTTCTCCTCCGGCAAAAAGAATGCTGCTTTTCTTTCTCTTCAAGCAAAACATAAAATCATAGATATACAGATAAAGACAAACCTTTCTTAGGAAACAAAACCTTCACAAACCACAGCACACGAAGAAGCAAAACACAGATAAAACCCTTCTGTCAACTGGCCAAAGCCACCCACAAAGACAAACAAATGAGGTACACACAGAACTGCCTCTCTGTCACATGTCCTTCCCTTCCTCCCTGTCCCTCCCTCCCTCTCTCCTTACCTGTACCTTAACTTTTGCTGCCTAATTCTTTCCCCAGTGAACTAATCCCTCCCTTCCCAGGCCAGTAGTCCATTCCTAGGATTAAGCCCAGCACCATCCTATTTACACTTCAGACACACTCAGAGAGGGCACAGACAGGAGAAAAGCAGTAAGACGTGGGGGGGAGGGTGAGTGAGCACTGTCCTGCAGAGTCTTCAGTTGCTACGCTTTCCAACTTTTTAAAAAATTATTTTGTTCTGAGGTTGGAGGAACGGAGGAACAGCTAAGTGCTCAAGAGCATTTATTGCTCTTCCAGAGGGCATGGGTTCAACTCTCAGAACCCACATATCAGCTCTCAACCGCCCATAACTGCAGTTCCAGGGGACCCGACACCCTCTTCTGACCTCCATGGCACCACTCACACTTACACACTTAAAAATGAACAAATCTAAAAATATATATTCCTTTTGTTCTTTGGATCTTTTTAAAAGAACGTTACTACATTTTGTCCATGTCCTTCTGTGGTGTATCTGTGCGGTTCTGGCACAGGTGCCCCGCTGCACCTATGCAAGTCAGAGGACAACTCTGCGTGAGTCTGTTCTCTCTGGTCAACCAGGTGGTTTGTCCTAGGAACCAAGCTTGGCAGCAAGTGCACTCGTCTGCCGAGCTGTGCTTTTCAGTGTGAACTATCCTAACTTGGCATCTCCCGGCCCAGGGAAAGAGCTTAGATATACAGGGACCAAAATAGACTGCTTAAGGAACTGATTCATATCTAGATTACTCTTGGGGGAGGGAGTGTTCAACAAAATATACACTTGAACTGGTGAGTTTTGAGCCAGAGTAATGGTGCTTGTCACCAAACCTGATGAACTGAGTTCAATCCCAGAACCCAGATGATGGAAAGGGAGTCCCTCTGCCCCCCACACAGTTGTTGTGACACACACTCACACCCACAGACACATACAATAAATAGTCAAACAATAAGTTGAAAAATAAACTGGTAAATTTTGTTTAATGTAACAAACTCTCAAACAAAAATGAGGGAATATGGAAAACAAACCAAAAATTGTTTCAGACTGTGCAGAAAAACATACCATTAACCATATCTGGTCCATGAGAGCGGTTCACAGCCTTCAGGGGTTTAACATTAGCTAGTGGTTAACTATCTACCGCTAAAGCCCTGGTTTCCTAGCGAAAGCAATAGCTAAAATGAGTTAAATTGTTAGCTGCACATTCAGGCAAATTACCTAACCTGAGATGAGCAGAGTAAGGCGAGGTTCATACTTTCTTCATAGATATGAAGAACAAAAGATTAATATTGAATAATTTACAAAACATATAACCAAGATACAATTTCAAAAGCAGTTATTCTTTCCAACTACCTGTTTCTACTTGTAACTGAAAAACTTAGTTATCTGTATAAAATATATAGTTAGAAAAAAGTAAGACTGAAGGTCCCTAAAAAAACCTTCATAAGCCTACTGAGGTAAATCAGGACTATAATATAGTCCTTCATACCTATTACTGTAATTGGAGGTTTCTCTCTTGCCCACCAATTCCCAAATAACCACTCTGAAACTTAATATTATTTATAAATGTTCAACTGAAGGCTCAGGCTTATTACTAGCTAGCTCTTACATTTAAATTAACCCATTTCTATTAATCTAAGCATTGCCACCTGGTTCTGGCCTTACCAGTTGCTGGCATGTTGTTCCTTGGGCAGCTGGATGGTGTCTCCCAGTCTCCATCCTTCTATATCTCTGCTTGGATTTCCCATCTGGCTGTATCCTGCCTTGTCATAGGCCAAAGCAGCTTTATTTATCAACCAATGAGAATAACACAATTCATAGCATACAGAAAGACATCCCACAGCATATTACATTAATGAAAATGGGCATTGATAATGACCACTTAACTCAGTTCTTTTCCTGAGATGTTGTTGCTCACCACCTGCTCAATGGACTGGATGGTATGGCGTGTGACTGGTGTGGGTGTGATGGTAGCGGTGCTAGTAATGCTGATAGCTGGACGGCAGGGGAGAGACAACCAGCCTCTGATGGTGTGTGACTGGTGTGGGTGTAATGGTGGGGGAGAGACCACCAGCCTCTGATGGCGTGTGATTGGTGTGGGTGTAACAGCAAGGGAGAGACCACCAGCCTCTGAGCTTCTGCTCTCTTCATAGTCAATTCTCAAGTTAGATTCCAAAGTCCAATTGTGCATGAATGGCTTTGGCAGTATCTTGAGACACAAACTCTCAGTCTTAACGCCATGGCCTGGAATTACAAGCAGCACCTCCAGAGGTCTTTTATTCCGATCAATCCTCCCACTTCTCCTCCTTATGAAATCCTGCGTCTCCCTTCTGGGCCCATGTCAGACATTGCCTCAGACTCGGATCCCGCACCCCTCTCCATTTCCTACTTCATTTGCTTCCGGTCTCTCTGTTTTATAAGTTCTCTTCTATGTCTTTATAGGTTATTTAGAAATCCACTGCAATCTTTTATTACATTTTTTTATTGGTGTATGGAAGGGGTGTGTGTCTGAGTGCCAGCACTCCCACACCAGTCTGGCATCCATATGACAACTTGTGGAGTCTTTCCTTCCCACCATGGGCAATGGAACTCAGATCTGTAGTTGGTTGTTTTTTATTCTTTGCTCTTTTACTCTTTTGGGGGCCTGCCACCCAGTTACCAAATAAATATACACAGAGTTTGGCTTGTGGTAGCCAGCTTTTCTTAAATTATCCCATCTACCTTTTGTTTCTGGGCTTTTTCCTTTTCTTACACTGTATATCTTACTTTCACTCTTAGTCTGCGGCTGGCTGTGTAGCTGGGTGGCTGGCCCCTGAAGTCTTCCTTCTTATCCTTTTCTTCGATCTTTCTTCTCCTTCTATTTATTCTCTCTGCCTGCCAACCCTTCCTATTCTTTCTCCTGCCTTGTTATTGTCCATTCAGCTCTTTATTAGACCATCAGGTGTTTTAGACAGGCACAGTAACACAGCTTCACAGAGCTAAACAAATGCAACATAAAAGAATGCAACACATGTTTGCATCATTAAATAAATGTTCCACAGCATAAACAAATGAACACATCTTCAACTAATATTCTACAACACTGATCAGTTTGACAGCAAGTGCCTTTACCTGCTGAGCCATCTCATAGGCACAGGATCCCTATCAATTACAGCCAGTGAGGGAGGCCTGGCATACACAGATTTCAATTTTCTCAGAGTTATCTTTAATCTTTGCTTATAAGGACTGGTCTTCTCATCTATGGATAGACTCTTGGTTTGCTGTTTTCACTTTTCTTAATGTTACTTTTAACCCATCAGTTTAACAGATTCTTTTTCAGGACTCATCAGCTCTAGTGAAATGTGCGACAATTTACAGAATACTCCTACAGTTTCTACCAAGCTTTAATAATGGTTGGCTATGTGTCATTTATACTTCTTTTACAACTACTAAACGTAATGTAAGGCCCCTGTGTTTGTCTGTTTATTTGTTATTATTGGATATTTGTGGTTTTCAAGACAGGATTTCTCTGTATAACAATCCTTGCTGTCTGGAATTCACTCTGTAGACCAGACTGACCTCCAACTTATAGAGATCTGCCTGTCTCTGCCTCCTGAGTACTGGTTTAAAAGTGTGTGCTCCCACTGCCTAGCAGCTGCTATGTTTCTTAAGTGAGCTATTTTTTTCTTCCAGTGCAGTGAGAAAAGTGATCTAATGTCTTCTTGGTGTAATAATTCCTGGATGCTTCAAAAAATATGATTCAACAGCTACAGAAAACAAGCCTCTGGGAGGAAGTGAGGAGAAAACACATAATATCAACATTAGAGTAAGCAAAGGAGAGTTTGGATTACTGGTAGTTTTGTCCAAAATCACAAGCACCTTTAATTCAAGATTTTTCTCTGCCAGTTAGTCTAGGCTTCAAGACTACAACAATCATGAAGTAATCCAGAAAGAAGGCAATGGTTATTGATACTTCTGGGTGAGTAAGTCATAAAACAGGAAAATGGTGGTTTCTTCTTTTCAAAAGACAAGTGCAACTAAGGTCTTTGTAAAACTACAGAATTTTATTTTTTTCACCTGAGTGCCTGACATGCACTCACACAGAGGGATATCACATCCTTGGTCTTTTCTAAGCTTTCTGGAATTTTGTCTCTTTCCTTAAAAGTACAGGAAGCAATGCTTCCCAATCAGGCTCATTTCCTTGGCTGAGGACCAGATGAAGTCCACAGCTCTGAACTTTCCAACTGCTTGAAATAGTTGGTTGTTATCTTAGTTAGGGTTTTTATTGTCTCAACAAAATGCCATGACCAAAAAGCAAGTAGGGGAGAAAAGGGTTTATTTGTTTATATTTCCATAATGTGGTTTATTATTGAAGAAAGTGAGGACAGGAACTCAAACAGGGCAGGATCCTGGAGGCAGGAACTGAAGCAGACGCCATGGAAAGCGCTGTTTACTGGCTTGTTCCTCGTGGCTTGCTCTGCCTGCTTCCTTATAGAACCCATGACCACCAGCCCAGGGGATGGCCCCGCACACAATGGGTTAAGCCCTCCCTTATCAATTACTAATTAAGAAAATGCCCTACAACTGGATCAGTTTCTCAACTGAAGTTCCCTCCTTTCAGATAACTCTGAGCTGTGTGTCTGGTTGACATAAGATTCGCCAGCACAGCTGTCGCCTAGCTTTTAATGGTTCTTCCTCCTCCAGTAATGTCGTACTTCTCAAGACAGCAGCGATTTCCGAACTTTTTCTCATGCTTTCATGAAACGGATATGGATTGTCCTTGACCGTTGTTGGTTCCCACCTGTGTAGGTGCATTTGGCTTGGTTGCAAACGGCCTTCAGAGTCTGTGGCCAGCCCCCTACTGTCTGGACCTCCACTCCAAAGACGAATGCAGTGCCCATCCTCTGGATAATTC